TGGGCTTGAGAGGGGCAGGCTGGAGGGTGGCAGGCCTGAGATCAATGGGCCTGAGAGGGGCGGGCCGGAGAGTGGTGGGCCTGAGATCAATGGGCTTGAGAGGGGCAGGCTGGAGGGTGGCAGGCCTGAGATCAATGGGCCTGGGAGGGGCGGGTCAGAGAGTGGCGGGCCTGAGAGTGGCAGGCCTGAGATCAATGAACCTGAGAGCGACGGGCCTGAGATCAATGGGCCGGAGAGTGGCAGGGCTTGAGAAATTTTGACTTATCTCAAAATAATAAGAAACTCGCAATCACATGCGTGTGTGTTTGGCAGCTTATATAAGTCATTATTTTGAGATAACTTAATCGAAATTTCGAGATATTAAGTAATTATTTTGAGATATCAAGTCATTATTTTGTGATAGTCGTTATTTTGAGATAAGTTGTTATTTTGAGATAACTAAGTCGTTATTTCGACTTAAATTATCGTTTTTTTTACCACGCTGGCAGAAACGGGCTTCCATACGTTTTCAAACTTGCCAGTATGTCGTTTTAAAATCTCGCAACAGAAAATATTATCATTTACATAACTAAAGAAAAATATACCAGTCGTTTTAAAAAATACAGAATGTGGCCACTAGGTGGCATTCAGCTGACGTCACTCCTAACTACCACCCTAACTACAAACAGCAAGAGTTGAGAACAAGCAAGAAAACCATCACTTATCTATCACATAACTTTGCTGTGTTCATAATAATAATAATAATAATAATAATAATTGTATTTAAGTGTGGTCAGAAATTTATAACCATGAAAATACCAAGGGCTTAATGAAAATTAATTTATTAATTATTTGATCATTGTTGACACACTACAGCACGTAACAGTGAAATGTGTCCTCTGCATTTAACCCATATGTAACATAGCAGGGGGCAGCTAATTCAGTGCCTGGGGGCAATACTTTACTCAGGGTACCTCAGCGGCTCTTTGCTGGTCAGGGATTTGAACCTTTCAATCTTCCAAACAAAAGTGCATTTCCATAACCATCAAACCACCACCACCCTGAAGATGTCTGCTATCCTCATGGCTGCTTCTACTTCAGTATGAATTATTGTAGGTGGCAGTTTTCACAAAGTACTTGTGGTTCAGGATCTTATATTAATCAAATGTGTTGAGCCTGTCTTTGAAAGAGGTTTTCTTGAGTGTATGTAACCACACCATTGCACCACACTCTTTCCCTTTTGAACTCTAAGGTTTGTATTTTGTACATTTTGCAAATGCTCCGACAATAGTTGGTTGTACATGGGTCTGACTGGACTTCCAACCTGAAATACCTGGGGCTGAACCTGATGGTGGATTAGACTTGCTGATCTTTCTGAATTCAGCTGCACTGGTGAGCTCTCAAGTGAGAGTATAGATTTGTGGTGCCACCATCTTTTGTTGTGGTGTCTTTTTGGCAAATGCAACAAGTGACTTAGTTCAAATTTGCCGGCTCATCCTTTCTCATTTTGTTTAAGACCAAGAAACTGCCAGACAACTGCAGTAGCCTTTTTCTTCATGACCAGGTCAGCCATCTTTGTTTTTTTCAGCTCGCTTAACGTGTGTTTGACAATCAACGTGCCAAAGTTCAAGCGATATTGTTGGTCAAGGTTGTTGACATTGCCATGATAATTTCAACATATGGCCCAAACATACTACTACATGTGTACTGTGTACTGTGACTCTGAGTACTCTGTGACTGTGACTCTTTATACTCAACTGGTTGAAAGTAAATCATGGTCTGGATTTTTACTTTCTGGACCTGAAATTGCCACCTCTGGTTAATTGGAGGATCAGCCCCAAGAACCGTGGACCCAGAGATGTCCAATGGCGGAGCCGGAGGATCAGCCTTAAACAGCTGCTGAAAGTAGTCGGCCCAGTGGGTCACAGCTGCAGTGTCATCTGTGAATACTGTGCTATCCCCTGCCCTGACTGTGACTCTCTATGTGTATAACATTTTATTACTTTGGCTAATGTTTGAACCAGCTCCCCAAACTCACCCTGACACACATTGTGCATGTTGGCCTTTGCTGGTGACGTGTCTTGGCAGGATTGCCGGAATACCAGTCTTATGTTGGTGACAGTCTATGCAACACGAAGTTTCACCGTGAAGCGCTGCGTCGCAACATATGTCTATGGAACTGTACGTCCCGTCTAGAAAATAAAATCCACATTTCTTTTTTATCTTGATGTGGGGGGGGGCCTCCCATTAGATCCGCCCATACTTTAGGGGCGTTGTTGGAGTTTCTCTCACGCCACCCTTCTACGTTACAGCCATCACATGCAACGTAACGGGTGGTTATTCATTATCACCACTAGGACTATAATTAGCCGATTGTGTGTTAACCGTAACGTTAGGACTTTGAACATGGTTACTCCCGGCAAAATAACAGACAGCACCAGCGTCTACGTTTTAATTTATTTATATTTCAAAATGACGTCCAGTTTCTATGCAAATCATTGCCGTGGGAAGTTTGTTAATTATCCTCCGTCGCCGTCCTTTATGCGGCCAGTCAGACCTCCAAACACGCGCACATTGTGTAAATCATAGTATTAGAAGGGTAAATCCATTATTTTATGGGGAAATAAATAACACATTGAAATATCAACACCGAAATAGAACTCCCGTTAGACATAGAATGTATAGACACCACCTTGATGTTTTAACTGAAACAGTGAAAGATCCCCAGATACTATAAATATAGAACTTAATGGTTTAACTGTGTAGTATACCTGCCTTTTCTGCACAACTATTAATTCTTTCACTAGAAATGAATAGGCTATATTCTATAAGGTGCAGAATTAATGAGCAAGTGAGAATTAGTCCAGATACAAGTACAAAAACCTATCTAACCGAGGCTTATAGAAATTAAATAGCACATAGTTTATCGACATCTGAAGAAAAAAAGAAAAATGCACACAAATATAGGCAAACGCACGGTGGTTATAATTAAACGATCGTTTTCAATGAACGTATCCGGGGTAGCTAGTGAGGCGACACAGTGGCAATATGACGACCCGGGACGCGACGCCAATAAGTTAAAGCGTCATTTTATTTAATCATGACATTTTCGAAAAACACGCGAATAATAGGTATATTCACGAGGATGTACGGTTTTGTGTAATAAGACTAATAACAGCAACATAAAATAAGTAGCAAAGCCGCTACAGTAAGTAACGTCTTTAAAAGCTACTAAGCTCTATTACGTAATTGTTTTCCGTGTCCCTAATCATACACTAATAAAGAATGAGCTCATAGTGCTGCTGAACTAAACATGTGCTCTCAAAACATTACTAACGCGGAAGTTCTGGAGTCTTATACTAAGCTTTTTACTTTAACTGCAAGAAATCAATACAGTAAATGTGTATTTGATAATTCGATCCACCACTGCCTGAATTATAAATAATGTAGAGTTATACCGTTTAGGTACCTTAAATGTTTCCTTATTTTCTAGTTGCCTTGCATTCGTGTTTAGATTTATGTGCCACCCCAAAATGACCTCTGCTCCCACCCTGGCTACCCCACTGAAAACGTTATGGCTCCGCCACTGATGCTGATAATGAAGAGGCGCAGGTCATGCATAATGAATGACGGGGTGTGTCCCCTTCGCGGCTCGGGGCGTCTCCGGAATATGGGCGCAGACGGACTTTGTCATCGCGCTCTACAGAATCGGCCGTCTGCCCCTTTAACGGGACTTACTGCGGAGACGGGGCGCGCGGCGAGACACCGCTGAGTTTCTATTTATAGCCAGTCTGTCCGGGGAACTGGTGCCGTCAGGAGAGCTCCCTCCAAAGCACGGGAAGATGTTTTGTCCGGCGATTTACTGCTTTGTCCTCTTAACAGGTACGTTGGCTCGCCGACTGGGCCGAGATGTTGCGTGCGAACAGAAGTCGTACTGAGTCGGGGGGAAAGTGCGGTCCGATCTCGGTCAAGTAGGAATTTGTACGATTGCGCTTCTGTTTAATTGCTCATCATCTGAAATTACAAAAGAAAAAAAAAAACATTTATATTAGTTTGTAATGCTTTTAGGAGAATTATAACTGGCTACTTTCACTTCTTATACGGAATAACACTAATATTTAATTAGTAACACTGTCATTAGTAGTAAAATGACTAAAGAAAACAGTCAATATAACAGTATCTAAAGAAAGATTTAAATAATTGAGCTGCATCGAATTGCTTGTGAATCTTCATTGTACGTAATTTAGATTTGTTTGACCCTGATGTCTGAAGATGCACAGGCAAGAGGGCAAGATGACATCGTATTTTTTTTACCCTTCTGTACAGTTTCCTTCTTATTGAACTAACCCAGAGTCAATGCTTAAGTTTAAAGGTACAATGACTGATAGCAGATGGTGCATATACTAAATTAAGACAGAACGAATCCCACAGTATTACAAAAACTACCAGAACAGTTGTCAGAACAATAGTCTCCTGCAATAAATATATTGTATATTGTGCCTTATGCCAGGTGCTTAATGTTCAGAGGGGCGTCTGGTCATGAGCTGGCTGTCTTTACACACACACACACACACACACACACACATGCACATATATAAATAAACAAGCACCGGATGCTAGCTTTCCTTGCATCACTTATATGTAGGGAGTCAGGAAGCCAGCATCGTCGATAACCTGTCCAAGTTTAGCAGGATTTTGCCCTTTCAGTCTTCAAAACAAGCTGCTGAACAATACATCCTGCCGACCGAACACATATGACACATTTGAGATCTGGTGGGTGAGTCTGCTTGGATTACTACACATCATAGGATCAAATCAAAGGTTCAGAGTTAACGGCCAAATGCTAGATGTCACACTGGTAGTCTTTATCCACCATTCTCATGTGTTTTGGCTGTTGTGGAGCATCTTTGTTTCATTCGGTGCTGCTTGGGCAACATGTTATCATTGATTTCTGACATATCAGGACTGAGGAAAAGCAGGAAGAGCGCTTTCCTGCTTTCATGTGTTCACAAAACCCACATACAGTCAACAGTTTCAGAATTAGAATGGTACAAAAAGTGGAAGCCATTTTAATTCCCCAGGAAATTAATTTGACATCTTTTATCCCAAAATTAAGAAACCGCTTCAACAAAAATCAAATACATTGGCATGAAGGAACTGTTTATTCTTTAATAATTATTCTTATTTATTTTGTTTTATTTCTGCAGGGTCATTTGTCTATGGAAAAACCACCAATACACCTTCATTATCCCCGACAGAGCCAAACACCAGCCTTCACTCTTTCCTATCAAGCAGAACAGCATCAACAAGTGCAACACCATCTGCCAGTGTTATCACCAGTCAATATTCTGTTTCTACATACTCAGATTCCACCACGGTGTCACCCACAAAGCCATCGATAGCCACATCCACAAACTCATCATCAGCTAATGCCACAATAAATACAACAGTCATCCCCACGGACTCATCCACAGCTGACGTTAATTCCTCATCCACGCTGAACGACACTTCCTCTAAACCTACCAGTTTACCGCTAACCAGCATCACTGTCTCTCCGGCTTCCAAACCCACGGCAAGCTCAACAACTGCTAGCGTGGGGTCTGGCACGAGCACAAAGCCAGGCAGAACGTGTTCCACGCAGATCCCAGCTCTAAGCTCCAGAGCCACGATGAGCACCACGGTGCTGCCAAAGACTACATCAGGAAAGGCCAAGATCGATGTAGCGGAGCCCAAAGCCCTCAGTGCAGGTACCTTCCGCCCAGCCACATGGCTGCATAGCTACATAGTGACGTACGTAGTGACCCACCAGCTGATGCAGACAAAGCCACCCAGCCCTCATATTCACCTCCACTACTGAGGCTTTGGTTTTGGGTTTATGGTCCTGTACAGGGGGTAAAACAATTTTGTTCTGAAATTGTATATTAAAACAACAAACACAGTTTGGAACCATTAAACCAAAGGCAATATGTGTGAATGATAAAAGACACTTATTTGCACAAAATAGATATGTAAAATAAATACATAATAATAAGACTACATCATAGAGGTCATAATGAACTAAATCCCATGTTCTCTACTACAGAGTATGGTTCCATATCTGTAGCAATAGGCTAAGCCCTGTGGCACCTTAAATGCCACAGGGCACAGAGGCTGTGTCTGCCTCACTCCCGTTATTCTCAAACTCGTGTTCTGATGTCTCAGGATGGGTTTTCAGCATCTCTCCTTTCCCCAGTATGATTGACTGGAACCAGCATTAGCCGTATCCAACTCGCTGCCTCACTTAGCATATTATTTTCCATGTCGAACATCTAGTTGTGAATTTAGGTTCTGCCCTCATCATGACGTGTATTCCATTCATTGTGTGTTCTGAACCAAAAGTGATGTAACCGAACAGCACACGCGCAACAGGCGTACCGTTACAGCCATAATGGAAACTGAGCAAAGCGTGTTTGCCTGTGAATGAGGTCATCCACGTGAAGTGGATTTAAGCATTCATATTTAGAATTACGTTTATCCGAAGAATGCAAGCATGGCGTGACTCATTAGACCTTTTATCGCTGATGGCACAGTTGTTGTTACTTGTGGTCAAGGAACAAATTCTTATCAGCCGCATGCCTAAGGTCCAGAGGGAACACTTGAAGTCTGCTTTTTGAAGGCATTGGTCAAGGCATTGCGTGGCACAAAATCTGCTTCTCAAGCTTTCACTGCAAAATAGTCAGGAGTAGACGGCTCACTCCTTACGTTTCATTCACCAAACAACACCCTGCCTTTTCAAATCAGTCTGAATGACATTTTGAATAACTGAGCGTTTCACATCATGTCTAAACAAGAAAAAAAATTTAGTACTGAATTTATGTATTTTTTGCCCTTCAGTTTCGTCATGTAAATCAAGGAGCCGGTTTAAAGCTCATGACTTAATTTCAGTTGATACATAAATGAAAACGTTGTTATTCTTTGTTGTCAGTCACGGGTTCACATGACGGCATGAATGTTAACTCATTATGTGTACCACTGTTGTGACACAGCGGTCAAAGTACTTCTGGGAACCCCAAATTATTGACTACTTGTCACTGTGGACCACAGACAGAGCTTCTGTGGGGGAATCCCATGATTCCAGGCTCAGTCTGTGTGAATCTGCGTGAAGTATCTCTTCTGAATAGACTCACAATATCTTATCCATGTTTTTATGCTAAAATTTATCCTTGCTTTGCTGTAAATTCTATATCATGACACATATAGTGCAGCTCAAACTAAATGGAAACACAGAATATGTTCATTTGAGAGTGAAACAGTCCAGTTGTAAATGCAGACCGTGATTTAATTTATAACCACTCTGTTGTTTTAATTCTTAATCGCCACACTGACTGAAAGCCTCTCATTGTAGACCTTTGACCATAAATTTACAGCCAGTAGACGTTTAACCTGTTCCTGTTCCTGGTTAAATCAGTTTTTTTTTTATTTTGAAAGGCAAAGTTATCACGTAATAGTTTTATTAGCCTCCCCGCCCCTGCATACTGGGAGGCCTTGTTCCGTAAAAATAGCATCCCTTTCCTTAGGAGTGCCTCCCACTAATCTCTCAGTTGGGTGACAGTATCACATTACCTCACACTGACTCATACCATGCACTTGTATGTCGGATATTTGTTGAATCCACTATTAAAATGCACCTCCCACTTCTTAATTCCACAGCCAGCGTCGTGGCCATAGTGCTCGTGGTCATTGCCATTGTCATCGTGGTTTTTGGAGGAGCCTACTACCTTAAGATGAGGTGAGTATCATGCAGCACCTTGGCTGTCCAGGCCAGAGGCCTCCCTGTTGTGTACGCTCTCAGGCTGTTCCAGAGGCCTCCCTGTTGTGTACGCTCTCAGGCTGTTCCAGAGGCCTCCCTGTTGTGTACGCTCTCAGGCTGTTCCATGGTCATTTCTGGCATGGAGGTTTCCTGAACGCATTGCTGTATCTTAATACAGTGGAATCCGCTAGTAGTGTTCACAGTTGTAGTGATCAACTGTTTATAGGGATCAAAAAGCTTGGGACAGAATCATTCCTGTTAAAATACTGTTTAAATAATCCGCTTATAGTAATCAAGTAGTCCGCTTACAGTGTTCATTTTGGGTGTTTTTAAACATGACAGCACACGGAAAAAAATAAAATTGCTTTGCTTTGAGGTAAGCCATCTGCTTCTGGCTACATGACGGGAAAAAGAAAAGAATGTCATTTTCTCTCAATGACAAATATCAGTTTCTCTTATCAATCTCTTATCAAACTTATTGTAAACCACCAAAAACGAGCCAAAGCGATGCGGCAGTGAAACTACAATAAGCGCTTTGAGACAATGTAACATTGTTAAAATGCGCTGTATAAATTAAATTGAATTGAACTGAATGTTTATATACAGTACTGTTCTGTATTATAGCGTATTTGAATTATACACAGTTCAGTAATTTAATTTGTACAGTACTGTAAATTGAAAAGCATTTGAAACAGCTGTACTTATTTTGAAATTGTCAATAAAATTAAGTATATAGCGACCTTATTGCCTTAAATTCATGTAATAAATATACAAATGTGAATTAAATGGTAATCTTGCTGAGACATAAAAAAGAAAAAACATTCAGTTATAATGATCATGCGCTTATAGTGATCAATTTCACCCAGACAGACGTGATCACTATATAAGCGGTTTCCACTGTAATGGAAATTAAATCAGAAATAGTGCCAAGGTTTTATTTGGTTTCATTAATTTTATATGGCATCCTTCCAAACAGAATAACGGCAAAGCACTTAACAAAAATTTCTCAAGAACAGCAGAAGTGTTGGACTTAATAGCCATACGGGACAGTGCATGGGTCAGCGGGTTGGGATCCTATGCCAGTGATTAGCTCACTGGTTCGATTCCTGTGACCAGCTGAGTGATGCCTTAGTGGGGCCCTTAAGCAAGGCACTGAACCCCAATTACTCCAGGCGTAGTGGATACTGGCCAGCCCAGCTAGGGTGGCCACCTAATCCATGTCAGGACAGACACTATGAGCTAATTCAGGTTTTCCTAACTACTTCGGCTTGTTTTATACTTTTAGTGCTTTGTTTACTTGATTGAAAGAATCACCCAGCTGTTTTACATTAACATTAGTGAATATTAGCATGGTTATAGGAGATTGACCAATCAGCGCACAGAAATAACTGTGCTAAAGTGAAATCCAGGTCCTTTTAACTGAAATGGTTGAAATGGTAGTTTACAAACCCTGGCTCATATTGTCCCCGCTGGCTTGGATTAGGTGGTCACCCTGCACCCAGTACTGTGACCCCAATATTGCTCTCGCCTGTATATGTGTCTGTGTGTGTCATGGAGGGCCAGATGGAGCAGGTGAGAAGAGAACTTCCACACAAGGATGAATAAAGTATCTCTATTTTTACTATTAAACATTCTATTATGTAGTAAAATATTTGTGGAAAAGGGTAGAAGAGAATAAATGATACAAAAAACTGCTGACTCGTTCCCCGAGGAGCGGTTTGCATGGGAAATGCCGCTTTTAACACCTCCTTTGAGTACAGACATGGGCTTTCAAACGCAGGCACCTAAACTTGCAGCTTGAATCGGGCGACCACATTGTTCACATCCTTCCTGAGAATGATACGCGCCTCTGTGCTTACAGAAGATCTTCCTACGGTCGCCTCCTCGAAGACAGCGAGTACAGCACCGTCGGCAACTTCCAAAATCCACTGTACGAGCACTGAGAAACCAAGCCTCTCGCTGGCTTTCGGGATTGAGGTCTCCCCCACCGTGACGCCGCCATGAAGAATGGGGATGTGTCACCTGTCCACACCAACTGCCTTCCCTAAAATGTGACTGTGACACTTTATTGGTGTTATCCTTTGTTTCTGCTGTTTGTTTTTTTAATCGGCTAATCTCTAGATGTGACTTGAATTTATTTTTAAATTCTCTCTCCTGTGAATAGACGATGCAGGTGTGCGATAATGTTTCCTTACCTACTTGACAGTTAGGCTCTGATGATGAACGTACACTCAGGACAGGAAGTGGTTTGGACTGGCAGTCACTTTCAGGAAGCGCTGCCTCTAATGTCGCAGCCACACATCAGGGCCCAGACACAACCTTTTCTTCTCAAACGTTTCTCAAAAAACTTTTGTTGAAAGGTGGTTTTATTTTGTTTATGAAGATTAACATGTAGCAGAGTTCAGTTAAGCATAAAAAGTCACAGTCAGAGAGGACTCAGCTGGTTGGTTGAAACAAAACCTTAGTCTAGGTTTGTACTGTCTGGACCTGAATTTTCCGCCTCTGTCTGTAATGGATTATTTTTGTGAGTAAGATCCACACCAATGTATATAAACAACAGACTGTTGGTTAAAAGTTAGATGAACAGGGAACTTAGACTCGCCATTCAGTAGGAGAATCTTCTTCCAGCCTCACAGGTCCTGCATCCTTCTCCTCCCCTCTGTCTTCTTCTTAGTAGCCTTTCCGCACTCTGCTAATGTAAATCTGATCATCACCTTGTTATGTGAGTACTACTCCCACCAGCCCAGGGCCTCAGAAGTGTTCCTCCATAAGAGACGATTTCACAAGCTGACAGGATGCTGTGGTTGACATCTTTCACAATGTCATAAAGAGAACAGTTTACACGGTGCGTTAGAAAAAGTCTAACGGTGTGCCGTTGTGTTACACTGGTTAAAGAAAGTGTTCATCCCTATTTTTTTTTTTTTATCGTGTTAGAAACAACAAATAAAAAAATTAAAGACTGTTTGATTAGGGTATGCGCTTGATTTTTCTTGTGAAAGAAGAGTGTTCAGTCCCAGGCTTATTCCTGTCGCGTTGTGTATGGGGACAGTGTGCATGCAGTGTACAGTGCCATGGTGCAGTGTGAGATTTAAACCTACAGCCTTCACTGAATTACTGGAATTCTGACCAAGCTGTGGCTCATTAAATGACAACTGCATTCCAGATTTCCTTTCGGTTCGACTGAGCATCCGAGGGTTAAAGTAAAATCTCCTTTCTGGTCAATGTCCTAAAATGGTTTCCTCAATGCCTGTAATTAGCCTTGTGTGTTCACTGCATTTTCCTCCACAGAGAACCATTCCTGCTATCAGCACTGCATGAGATTTCCTGGAATTCTAAATATGAAATATGACTTGCGTTCACTCCTTGTGATTATCGCGTCAGAGACATTATAGGGATGTAATTAAGTGCTGTAAAACTCCGCCTGTGAGTTAAGAGCCTTTAAATAATAACCAGTCTCTCTCATGGAATCTTTGCTGTGCATCTCTGCCTTTTGAGCAGACAGAGAATTTCGGTTTCGCAACGCATTTAAAAGGAAACAGGCAATCGGCTTCATCTTTTTTCTCATCAGATAGTCATTTAGTGACAATTAAATGCCATTCAGATCTACTGAGAGTAGACTTATTTCTAACTGGGAGCAGAGTTATTTATTTCTCGAGAAATGATACACCTGCTTGGATAATGTTTGGGCTACAGATTTCATTACATAAGTTGTATTTGTAAATACTTGGCATTTGACCTGCATTTCCTTCCCTAGTTTGCTTTCAACATCTTCTTACCTGCCTCTGGAGGGAGATTCCAGTTGACTTCAGTATTTCACAGCCGAGGGAGAGGAATAACTGTCCTAGATTCAGTTCCAGAATCTTCTAGAACCCCTGACTTTTTTAAATCAGTCCCCACAGGGAAACATCCTGGCTGGTACCAAGGCACAAAGATCTTTTGTCTGTAACCAAATCCACAGCCAATTGTTTCAGAAGCATAAAATGATGGAAGTTTTTCACCTGCACTTACTCCTAAACTAGACTTCAACTCATGTGCCAGTTCTGTCTAGTGACTAGGGTACAAATACCATCTTTCTCTGTGTTTAACGACACTAATCCATTGCCTAAGATGCGACATCTGCGGAGGTTTTTTTTTTAAGTCTTTCTGACAAAGAATCCATTGTTGTTTTTTGAAACAGACAAAGATGGTACCACCATTGTTGACATGCCAGCTGAGGACCATGCTGCCAGATTCCGCTAAATGTTTCAAGCACTGTATTTAGTAACATTCCTAATTGTCCGTCACAGTGCTAATAACACACTCTGCTGGCAAATGTCACACATAAACACCCTCCAGCTTAGGTAATTGCCCTCCTTCTTTCTGGATGATAATTAATAGGTTGCCAGGGATGTGCTCATTACCATGGGGTGAGCTTATTGGTCAATTTCTCCCAGGCCAGCATCCTGCTTCCATTCTTAAGTTGCCTGTTGATGAAGAATGATTAAAAGAAACAGATGAACGAACAAAATTAAAATAACACATATTCCAACTAACGTGGACAGTAATTGTCAGAATATATCCTATACCAGGGGTCACCAACCTTTTTGAAACTGAGAGCTACTTTACGGGTACTGAGCCATACGAAGGGCTACCAGTTTGAAACACCCTCCTAAACTTATCTAAACTTCATGTATAATAAACATGTTTTAAATGTTTTTTTTTTTTAGATAGTGTCATTTTCAAATCTATATGAATGCAAATGCGATTAAAGAAGAATAGCAACAGGATAAATTACATTTTAGACACTGTTCACTGGTCAGTTGTGCTATTTTTAGAACAGGTCCGCGGGCGACTCCTGTGGTCCTTGGGGGCACCATGGTGGTGACCCCTGTTTTAGAGGTTAAAACAGAAAAGTTAAGAATGGTAACCCAGGATTTTTTTCGCCGCGTGACACAAGCCTCAAAACGCCAGTCCCTCCAGTGGGTCAGCAAAGCAGCAGAGAAGCTTGACAAGACCACACTGCATCTATAATGACCACTGCATCCTGAGGGCCGCCAGATTGGGCAGAGATCAGTTTCAGCCCTCTCACAACCTCTTTGCCCCCCTGGCATCTGGTAGGAGGTTCTGCCCCAAAGCCAGGACAGCGGGGCTTAAAAATAGGTTTTTCTTCCGAGGTGGTTTTACCGTTGAATGTTCTGACCCATAACAATCTAAGAATCTCCTAAAAGGACTCCATTTCTCTTTCTCTGCCCTGGAATCATAACTGTAACTGTAACAAAAATCAATACTGCACATTCAATACTGTAACCTTAATCTATTATTACACATTCTGGCCCAAACAACTCATGCCCCTTTGGATAATTGTATATATTGTTAAACTGTATTTTGGTTATATTTCTCAATGTCTTATGTGCCTGTATCTTTTATATTCATATTTATATTAAATTTATCACTGTCACTGTTTTTCTTGCAGTATGACAAACGAGATCGTGATTTCATCTCAGCATATGACCTACAGTATTGATCATGCTGTTTAAGGTGACAATAAACAACCCACTAGCTACAGCTAACAACCCACTAGCATCAATTTTCCTAAAGAGGTCATGAGGCACCTGATGTATTGTGCTTTGCTTGTCTTTAACCTCTGAGGAGGTTATGCAGATATGCAGCTTTTTTTGCGTTTCCATATATGGACACTAGGGGGCAGTTGTCACTCAGTTTAAAACCTAGGAAATAAATTTTATGTATTCCATGTAATTTGATAATTACATTCTTTGGTGAATTAACTGTATTACAGTTCCCATATTACACCTTCCAGGAAATTAGCACTCAGACACCTGGAAGTATGCAGAAAAATGAACAGATTTGCATCCTCAGTGACATTAATGCCTACTAGCTGACGTGTATAACGCATGTTGCAGGACAATCAGTTGCTAAAATAGCAGGTTCAACTGATGGCACCTTGAGTCAATTCTACAATGCAATGACACAGACATTCAGTCCACAATTTGGAGACATAACAGCCCTCAAGCTATTTGGAACCTTTCTGGCCCAATCAGGGGATGGATTTGGGGCAGGGGGGAGCATGTGGCTCAGCGGGCAAAGCCTCTGTGCCTGTGGTCAGAGGGTTGCCAGTTTGGGCCCAGCCTCCGCATATCTGCAGGTCCTTGACCCCCACCTCCCTGGGTGCTGTTATGGGGGGGCTGCCCTTTACAGCCAGCTTACTGCCACCTACAGAGAGCAAGTTGGGGGGAGTCATTAAGAGAATTTCCTCATGGGGATTAAAGAAGTATCAGTCACACCTCTCTGCCTGTCAATCGCCTGCTACTGTACCCATTTCATCCCCTTTGCAGTTTGCTTTGGGTCTGGGCAACCCCTGCTCTACAAAATGCCTCTCAATACTCTTCTATCATACCGCAGAATAAAAAATAATTTAAATACCGGGGCCTAAATATCACTACTTGCACAGGATGTACATATAACTAACATATAAGGTAGTAAACACTGGAGCCTGGATATCAGTGCTCAGATAATTGTAAACCACTGGTGTATGCAGTGGTCAGTCTCTAACTGAGGATGTTTCTTTAAGGTAATAGAAGAAGCAGTGCCTCACCCAAAGAAAAGAAACATAACATTCATATGACATAAAATAACTTTTTAATGGCAGTGTATCATCACATCGGCCATTTCCATGTAAAACCAAAAAGTGCCGCAGTTCAAAAATGTCCGACAAGATATTGTGCAAACCACCCTAAGGTTAATAAAAAAAGAACTTCAGTGAAGCAGACCAATTTTCCGACTCACTGAAGCAACAGAGTCCAGCTGCAAAGCTCCGCAGCTTCGTGATTCGCAGTTCCTCTGGAGGAACCAATTGGATTATGTATTTAGGTCATATGATTTAAAATTGTTCCCAATTTTAGAGCTCCACTGAAAAATCCATCCAATTTTGCATTTATGTCTAATGAATGTAATGTGTTTTGAGCAACAAATAATGAGCAGTATTGAAAACAGGATGAAAAATTAAGCAGTTTCAAAGTTAGCCTCTTTTCGAAACCTTGTAAACGTGGTATTGTACCACAAAAATTTTCACTTAATGCAAATGCAATCTAATGTTTTCATAAGTTTAGATTAGGGTGAGGGTCTGCAAAAACAAGGGCTTGTTTTCACTGTATTTTTTATTGCTTCTTAGGTATGGTTCTATAATCTTCATTGTAACATTAATGACGTAGTTCCCAAAAAATATAATCTGCATAGATTTTATTTCTTTCAGAACAAAAATTGTATGACTAAAAATGAAATACTTCTGGCAGCTTTCATTTTGACAGCAAACTTTCATTTTGACATTGAACTTTCCGTCAATGACATTATTTGACGTGCGTGATGATAATCATAGTTAAAACTTGAGTAGCTCTAGTTAAAAATTGAGAGCCATGCAATATTGTGAAATTTGATTGATTCCTCCAATAGATGGAGTTCCGCGGAACCCCATCCCACAACTTTTGCGGTCATACACGAGGGGAAGTGACATAAATTTTGTAATCAGGGGTTGGTTGCAGACGGCTGTAGCTGGTGCATCTAGCCCATATTTTTTTCTTTAGCGGAAATTGACAACTTTGCATGTGCAAGATAAATGAAAAGGTATTTCCAGTAGGTGGCAGTGCTGATTTTCACCTTGCAGTGGTTAACAACGGATGAGCAGAGGAAGAATAATTGTTATTGTTGTTATAGTTATGGTGAGGCGTGTCGGTGGTACCCGCATATCTGAATTTTCATACTGTTCATACATTATACTGTGGTATCTGGTATGTTTAAAAATAGCACTATTCTAGCATTTTTAATCTTGGAGATAAAATTTGCGGTGGGGCGTCCCGGCTAATTTTGCCATAAGGATTTCAAAATCGCGTTATGCCATATTACCATAATACAAAGCCTACACTGCTAACTTGAAAATGAAAATGTACCTGTTAGACTGCACTGCTGGTATTTGTGCTTG